TGGCCCGCTCGGGATCCAGTAATACATTTTTATTATTTCTGATTGCTATCCAGACGTCGAGCATTCGTATTTACTCTCTGCGCGGTTTCCTCCTTATCTTGACCGTTCCTATTCCCTTTCTGTCGTGGCTTTTTCATTTATCTTTATCCCCGGTCCGTCTCGCCGCCTTTGCCATTTTTCCTTTCCTTGTCATTTCCACTCGACCGTTGCCCGCGGCGAAATCGCCGGCTCAAAGTACATGCTAATGGGGCGAATATTAAAAAATAAACGAAACACGAACAGCACAAGGGGGGGGGGTGAAAAAGAGGAAATGGAAACGGCCTCGGGGCCTACGATTTGAAAAGCCACGCCTCGTTCGAGACCTTTTTCTACCCCGACTTTCCGCCAACGTTTACTTCATTAAATCGCAAATTAGTCGTCCCGTTCCAGCGAGCAACTCATTTACGCCGCCTTTGGTTCCTTTATCTTGTGTTCGTTCTTGTGTAAATGAAAACTTTTTCTTTACTTTCAGCGGTTTCTGTAGCGTTTGCCGGTCGCCTGAACGCCGTTCGAGCAGATTCACTGAAAGGTCGACTTTTCTTTCCACTGTGTACCGTAACACCAAGATCTTAAATCCTCGACGCATGAAAAGCGTATTACGAGTACGAGTTACTAGCCACGATGTACTATTTTTGTTACAAACGTGGAATATCTAGCAAAGGAGTCGAGGACACTCGTTTCGCCCTGAAAGGAAATTTTCAAGATGTAAAAGTGAAAGAAGTTGAAAGATATAATTGTTTCTGTTCCCGTAGATTTCTATAGCAAAAACTCTCAGAAAGTTCGAACATCGGTGTAAACTGTATAACGAATGCTCTGAGAATAAGAAACGTTTCTCCAAAGTTTTGCTCGCGCCTGTCACTTACACTCCGTGTATTTCACAGGTGTGCAAATTGGTTTCATTGTCGGGAATTAAGTTGCATCGATTTCCGAGAAGTTATTGCGACGAAACGAAACTTTTAACCGAGTGTTTTCCCTCCGAGTCTTTAGTAGTAGATTACTGCTGCGCTTTAAAGGATAATGAAATGGAAATTCGGGGAGCTTCGTTTTGAAAGGAATGGTGCGCAATGCCCATTCCGTGGGTTAATCTCTTTTGTCGAGTTTCGCCGACCAGCAAAACAAAATTAAAAACAATTTCGGGAGCGTGCACGAAGCTAATAGAAGTCCAATTTATAAATTAGAGAATTCTCTTTTTCTTCGGTCGATTTAATCTTTCCAATAAGCGCCAGTGAAGTTTGTGCGTAGTAAATCGCTTGTAACGAAGGCAAATCAACGGAGCAAAAACTATGCGAATTACCGTAATTTACTTCCGAGCTTGGAATAAATGAGACTTTAAAGTGGAACGCATAAACACTAAAAATTAAATTTCAGTAAAAATAACCAGCAAGAAAGAACACGCGTGGACGTTGGAAAGTCTGAACCGAGAAAACAAAACACGTGTCCGACTCGTCGGAAGGAGAATAACTCAGTGAAGCTGCGAAATGGAATGTATATCATGGTGCCAACAGCATTTGTATCGGAAATAACAAAGGAAGTTAGGCGATGAATCTAGTCGGCAGTCAGCGCAATAATATTCGAACCGGAAAACGCAATAGTTACACCAAACATTCTAAACAAAATAATGCCAGTAAAAATTAAAAAACATGCTGATAGATCACTCTTAAGTTTGAGTCGAATTTTTAAATTTCATTTCCTCAATTTGCTTACGGAAAGATTGAATTAAAATTTTTAATAATTATATTTAAATTCATGATGTGAAATAAACTATTCTTCCATTTTGATTTGTATTTATTATTCTTTGTCTTTTGCTTTATTCATAGACGATGATCAACGTTTGCCGGAATTATTATTTGCTTTTCTTTTAAAATCAATGGAAATTATACGAGACTTCATTACCATCCCCGATAGAGAAATTCTGATACGAGAGAAAAATGGCCCGAGGCCGGTGTAATTCGCATGTAATGACCGCGATGGCGCTCAAAATGTGGCGCGATAATGGACCACCAAAATCCCATTATCTCGTACGCTGAGAATTCATTACTCGTTAGTTCCCGTCCCCGTTGATATTTTTCGACCCTCCGCGACCAGATAATCAAAAGAACTAGAGCAAGAGAGGCTTCATAAATTTTGGGCGCCGTTGTCATAATTCAGAGGGTAAGGTCGCCTAAATTGGACTACCTCCAACATTCTTTTACGCTGTAATATATCTAACACTCGACTCGAAAATAATATTACTTATCACTCTTCCGTATTCATCAGACAATACATCAAAGAAATTTTAATAATTTTAATAACTTCGAAAAATGGTAATAATTTCGTTCGATTTTTAGCATTTTTATCGTTCACGACTTTTAGAGAACCAATAATTCAATTTTGGATTCTCTGTCTGCCATCGTGGTTCTAATAAAATATATATTTTAAAAGTGAAATTACAGTATCCATTTGGTACTCACTGATTCGAATGATCAGAAAGTAACGATATTAGTTTGGAGAACAATCTTGCAAAACGAGGACTATTATGCATTCCAAGGATGATGAGTAACAAATTTAATAAATTTCATAGAGGGTAAGTTTACTAATGTGGTCCCGGTGGGGTAATCAAATCCGCGTGACGGCGTCGTGGAACATTCTCATCGTCGACGCGTTCCTGGGGGGAACGCGTCGCCGGTCGACTTCGGTAGAGAACGATGATAGATACCGCTTTATTTTATCCTGAGGGCATAAAGGCCTCGCTGAAAGCCACTTGGCCGTTGTCGTAAGTAGATAAGTCCTTTATACTGGGAACTCTTCGAATAGCTGGAGGACTGGCCGACCCGGCTGGAAGATTAAGTGACCAGCCGAGGAATTTCTAGAGAGGATTACGCTTCTTGCGAGAGCTGCTTCATTTTTCGGTGCTCTCGAACCACTTTTACTCGAGCTGACTGGTGTTAAATCGCGGTTCAAGCTCCGCTGATCGAGGCTATTTCGTAACAACGAGAGAAGTTATACCAGTTTGCGTGGGTGGAGGGTGGTTTTGTAAAGTACAGTTCATTCAAGCTAAAGAAGCTTTAAAAAAACTCACGATGAAATGCAAGAATGCAGAATACGATTGTTTGCTGTTTCGAATCTACCTTTTTATAACTGTAAATCGTGAGTTTCGTCGATCGTTTCATAGCCAAGAAATCTCTGTGGGATTCGATTCCAGGGACTGTTGCCATACTGTATCCAACGCGAACCCCTAGCTTCTAAAACACTCAGTCGTGATGTTAGTACCTGGAAACTGCTGTTCCCAACGGGACGTTCGAATCCGTGAGTTCTTGTACCGTGTAATGTATTAACTTACCAGCATAAGGACTGGTTGTCTGAGGCTTGAAAGGTATCACGGAGTTGACTAACTTAGGACTCGAATAGCACCCACGCCGACCGTAACAGCTCTTGCAATTGAAGCAAGATAACACGGGGATTCGAGCCACTATAGTCGGCCATTCTGCGCGTATACATGCATTTACGCCACCACGTCGCGCATCAAAGACTATCAAGAACAACTTTACGAGCTTCGTGATCTATGAACGCGTTCGATCCACCGTTAACGAAGGTAGTAACTGCGTACTTCATTAAAATTTTACAATATACGAAGTGTCTTAGTCGTACGAAGTTTTGATCCTCTAGCTCGGAGGTCTCTTCGGATATTTATATTTTAAACACATTTGTTCTACACTGTGTGATGAAACTATAATCTTGAAACTTGGTTGGAGCGATCGCCAACCAGATTATCCATCATCATTAATTACAGCGATCAATAAATTTTCCACCCTCATGCATTACTTCATTATGTCCACTTAAGAAGTGCAAGAACTTCCTAATGGGGCTGGTATTTATAGTAATAATGATAGTGATAGATGATTAAATTTGATTCGAGGGTTCTATCATTGGTCTAACGAAGTCAGAAAATATATATGAGAAATAAAAGCTATAACACTTGCTATATTTATTGTGCTGAAATTTTTTGGCGAAAAAAAATTCTAATCAATCTGAAAAAATTATTTTCAGTTGCTGGGGCCAATTATAATCATTTTTGGTGAATACACATATCCCCCAACTCCTACTCACTTTCGACAAAAAAATTCATTACTAAAAATATAACACATTGTTGACCATCGAATAACCAATGACTCACTAAAACCATCACGAAGTCGAAGATTAAAGATTAAAAATTCTTACAAGTATCCCCTTACAATTTGATGCACGATCTTCTTAACATTTTGTTCCACTTTGAAAAGCAGTATGTCTCAAGACTAGGAAATAAAAGAATAAATGCAATAATCGAAATATTACTGTAGAAAGAAAAGAAAGAAAGAAAAACATGTGGTTAATGCGCGAGATTATCGTTGCTGCAGAACTTAATATTGTTTTCTCAATCTAAAAATAATGATCACCATTAGATGCAGTTAGCCGGGAGAATGGTATCGCGTCGAAGTTCTCGAAACCATCGGCGCAGCGACATCAGAGAAAGCGTATCGCCATTATCGGTAATAACCGTGATTTCTACGATCGGTTCAACAACTTGCAGCAACCATAGAGGAAGTATACCCCGTTGAACAACAACCTCGGTCATCTATTCAACTTAGCGAGGCGTTAATTCCGCATTAACGTCGTTCTACAGACGTACGATCTTAATGGGTAGCCCCCCCTCGCCGTCTACAGCCGATTTCTCCGTGTAATGGTTTATCGAACGAACGACCGACGAAATTCTGCTAGTAGACGGCTAAGCAGATTCGCGGGTTCCCTTAACGAGAATCGAATGAACCAGCCGATCGAGTAGTCCGGCGTTTTAAACGAGACGCGTTACGATGATACGATGTTTAACCTTTTCGATTCCGTCGGTACTCGCGGACTCCAGCCAGATTTAATTTCACCAGCGACGATTGTAAGAATTCGATCCATCACGAGATTTATTGTACCGTATTTTATTGTTTCTGTCGCAGCGTGTCAGCAGGTCAAATACGGGGTGCAAGCGGTATTCGGCCCGTCTGATCCGATCCTGGGCCAACACATTCACAGCATATGCGACGCATTGGACATTCCACACCTGGAAGCCAGGCTGGACCTGGACCCGGAGGCGAAAGAGTTCAGCATCAACCTTTATCCCGCACAAAGTTTGCTCAACGCCGCTTATCAGGACATCATGGAGTTTCTCAACTGGACCAAGGTCGCCATCATCTACGAGGATGACTACGGTGAGTACTGTAGACACACTTCGAGGACTTATAATGTTCTCCATTTGTGAAAAAATATTTAATTGTGAAACTATTTTGAGAGTAAATAAAATAATGGACGCATTTGCATTAAATGTGGGAACCACGGTAGGAAGTTGCTTCCAGTGTCTGATTACGAGTGTCTCATACTACTGCAAGTGTACGTCCTGCCGGAAACTTTGGCGGAAGTGTTTTTACCACGCGACCACGTGTTTCTGAAATGTATTTTCCTGTGAAAAAATCTTTTTCTCGGCTTTTTAGATTGAAAATGGTGAATAAAGTCGTTGTAGATGTGGCGTCAGATTGTCGAGAAGCAAACGTTCCGCACACCTACATCGACTTAGAAGCATTTCAAAGCAAGAACGCAGCGCCAAGTATGCCCTCGGGCTCTCGTCACCTTTTTGTAGGGGTCATTAAAGGGGATGCATATTCATAATCTCGTCGTCCTAGGCGAGTCGTCGTATTTGAACAGTATACGAACCGTGAAATAAGTTCGTTCTCGAAACTTTTGCCCCGTCGACGTCTCTAGTGCACTCGTTTCTTATAATTCAACGGTATAAAATGCATCGCGCTCGAACGGTTCGTTCGTCGAATATTAATTTAAAACGTTTTGCTGAATCGGTCTTTGAAGGTGTTCCACTCGAATTAGGGGAAAGTTCCCGTCCGACGACGGTTGAAAATCGAGAGGGAAACGTTAATTGTACCGATATTCTCGTTCAGTTTATCTTGTTCGATTATCAGTTTGCCTAACGGTGTCGGAAAGGTGCTCCCAATTACGGTTCCTATTAGCAACAATTACGCGCCGCAATAATGGAATAACGTCGATTAATAACGGGCGGGCGCGTGTCTGACGCAAAAACTGAGATAATGAAATTCATTCATAATGAGAAACGTCGTCTGTTCGGCCCCGGTGAAGAAAACGGTCCCGTCGAGAGGGAATTCCGTCTAATTAATTCGGAAAATGGCGGTTTAAAGCGAGGGCTCGTTCCGTCGCGTTCACAGTTCCACGTTCCGTGCACCGCCATTCTTTGGTACCGATCTTTGGCGATGAATAATGGAAGGACCCAAGAGAATTATATTAGCTGCGCGTGAACGATATCAGACGTCGAGATGCCGTCCCTTTACGTGCCCTCGTCCTACGGAATTCCAGTTAACGTTTCGGGTATATTTAATTCTGATGTATCAAGGACTCGATAACCATTCGATAACCATTCGATAAATTCGATGTTTGCGTAATGGAGCATCGAGGAAAGCGTTCGTTCGCTGTTCGACGGGCCAAGAGAATTGAACACCGATCCACCTAGATCAGGAGATTTGGAACTTTGTTTAAAAACAACTCGAAACGTCGCATATTCCGTCGACGTTGACGCACATCCGCAATCGGCTGATCGAGCAGCTTCGAAACCTGGATTACAGCAGGTGCACGCAAAATCATCCGCCATAAGCTCGCGCTGCACGTGGGACTGTCGGAATATTCTTGTGACAGATTGTCGGAACACGTGCGTCGCTGCTGCATTTCGTGCTCAATGAACGTGACTCTTCGCCCGACGAGAGCGGAGGACTCTGTTGTCAGTAAAGAGGAAATGGCGTATTCGTCGTCAGACAGCGCCGAGCGCTACCAATTTTGCATTATAAATGCGCCGGAAACGCGTCTCGTAAACTAACGAACTTCTCGGTATAGCAACAAACTTGACGGAAACGGATCGTACATTGCAATGATCGACGATCTTGTAACAGTTATTATACTTATACGGTGACATAATACAAAGACAGTGGTTAGGATCGATTGTATTGCAATTCTGAACACCGTTGGAATTGATTGGACTACCAGCTTCCATTAGCAGACTCGCTGATAAGAGGATTGTTTTGGAATAGGATTTCGTTACAATGTCGAACGCTTTTATCAGTTGTGGAACGTCATCCAATTTGTGTTTTAATTAACGCCTCGAACGATCGAGGAATCGTCGTTCGCGATGTCAAAGATCGATCGAACGCGCGCGCGCGTCAAGTTTTCCCCGGTCGTTTCCGTTCTCGAAGGATTTCGTTTCCGATCGAAGGCACGATTGGATTTACTTGGAACTTAACTACCACCGATGAAAACATCCCTCGAGCTTAACCGCCTTTGCCAACGAGCTTACCTATTTGCAGAGGTGCACGAAAGTTACACGTACAAGCCGATTAGAACACCCGTGGCCCACCGCTCGCCCACCGCCCCCTCCCCGCCCTCTTCGACAAACTGATTTCCTCCAGAGATTTACAGGAGCTCCGGAATTTCGGTGTTTCCTCCACTATCAATTCCAGTCGGGCGGTTCGGTCGCTGGAAGCAACGAATACTCGGCCTTCGGGAAAGGAACACGTCTGGAGCTGTGTTCGAAGCCACACCGAGAGACCAATCCAGGGTCGCCTAACCTTACCCTTTCGGTCGAAAGGGAAAGAGCGTGGCGATTTTCTGACAAATTACGGAGAAGCTTAATCCCTTTCGCCGGAATAGCCAATTTAAAGGCAACTTGGGCAATGTGTGCTTATATCGTGTCCTAGCGGAATAGGTTCTTACGTACTTCTAATAACAATTTAATGTCAGCTGTGAAGAAAACGTAAAAACTCTCATTCTTCGTAAGGTTTAAGGGTGTCGAAACATTGATTTTTAAAGTAAAGAGTAAAGTGTTTTCGTTTAAATTATATTTAGTTGACAATGGGTGTGGCTGGAGAGTCGAATACAATTTTTTCTTTTAGTCTGATGTAGGCCAATAACGTTTCGAACGTTTCTCAGGGCTCGTAGCAAACGCCGTCATTCGGCGGAGGAATTTTCAACGATCCTAATAAAGCTTTAATGCGGCTCTACCCGTCGTTATTTCACGCTGTCAGCGTTAACCCTCGTTACCGAAGATCCAGCGTCTTCCATCGAGCTGCGCAGCCTGCAAAGGCGAAACGCAAACTCGAGCCTCGAGTTTCTCGAAAATTTCCATTCTTCGTCCGCGCGAGCACATCTAATACAATCGTCGAATATCAATATTTTGTAATTATAATACTCTCTCTGTAAAATAAATTGGATCTGAAACGGGTAATGAAATAAACGAATGAAATTAAATATTCCACAGGCGATTGCTTGTAAAGCGTACATACAACCTGAAACTCAATTATAGTCTGGTACAAACGTTTGTTTAATTACTTTTGCGATGCGTTTCGACGTGCCGCTCGGGTCCTTTGCAGAAAATAATTGTATTAAAAGAAATACCGATCAGCAAAATTAAGGAAGATTAAAAAAATAATAATTGAAAAACAGAGAATTCTATTCGTATTTATGATCGTTCGTCGAAAGAACGCTTTTAGTTTTGTGCAAGTAGGACCACAAAACTATCTCCGAGTTACTGCTGACAAAAAAAAGTGCTAGACAGTCCTATTAAAAAATTCACGTTATGCAAAGGGTTGAGCTGCAAGTACGCGCATTAAAAGTTTCCCCTCTCTTAAACGGCACTTAACAAACCCTTCGCGCGATTCACCGAGATATTTAAGGGCTCGGTGCTCTTTTGCATCGCGAGCACATTCTTCGAGCATCGTTGGTGTAACTTTTCGCGTCCGTAGGAATAGACTTCGCATTAACATTGTAATTTTAACTTGACGAAGTTTCGCGAAGACAAAGCTAACGCGACGGTTGGACGGGACGTTGGGAATTTCTGGTTTCGATGTTCCTTGGAGTGGATTTCAGATTGTCGAGAATCACGATCATAGCGAGCTTCGTATTATTTTAAACGAGAACTTTAAGTTGAATTTACTTATTAGTTATATTTTGGTTGAGTATGGCTTTCGATGGCTAAATAGGAACGTATAATGCATCCCCATAGATGACCTGTATCCAAAAGCCAAAAGGAATACAGGGTCAGGATCCATCTCGAGGTTTCCCCTAATTCTGGCAACCGGATTCCGTTCCCTCGCGCCTCGAGAATCGCCAATGAACCTTCAACCCGGTCTATCACCGACCATTGTACAACTTCCAGGACTTGTTCTCCCGCACCCTCCTTCGAGCTTTCCTTTCGATCCTTCTTATTCCCCGAACTTCGTTCACGTTTCTCGCGAAACATTCCGGACAATGGAAACGCTGGTCGGAAGGCTGGACTGGGTGAGGACGCAACCATGCATTTTAAACTTCGGTATTGAAAACATCGCTTATCCTTTTCCCCCGTGTCGATTCGGACCGCAGATCGAATCGTATTTTTATCATTCGAAGGCTGTCACATTGAGATAATATTCTGCTTCAGCTTATATAGGCTAATACCGACTATAACGACAATAAAAATAGCAAAAGTAACCTTTATAATATATTGGAAACTAAAAAATATCGAGATGGAGATCCTTGTATCTTTTACAAATATTCTCTCGACCATTCGATGCTATTAGTAGAGAATTTATTTATTTGTTGTCCACTATTTTAAATTATGAGTTTAGGAGGGTTAAGAACCACTGTCATGAGCAGTTCCCGAGAACGACATTTGCCTCGATTGTGGTATCAATTCGTCCCAGGGAATTCTGAGACCCGTTCGAGAAGCTCGTACAACCATCCAGACAGCGACTTATTCCTTCCCATCGCGAAAGATGAAAAAAGTCCCCGTGCAGTGCGCGAAATCTTCGTGTCAGAAGCAGACTCGCGTTTCCGCACCCGGCGATATTGGCAGGCGGGTTGAAGCTTCCTCGAACATCGTCGAGAAAGTGGCGAGTAACGTCTCTCCTCATCCCTCCGCGATGGGGGAGAGATTTGCGAGCGGCCACCTCAGGAATACGTATCCGGTTTGCCACGTACGCGTTGCACGGCAACTAAATCACTGGGATGGAGAGCTGACGCTGTCTCTTCTTTACGATTCGCTCGTGAGAGCTAAAAGATGAAGCGGGACCATGACAGGGACTGGAACAAGCTGCCAGGGAAAATGGGAAATAGCGACGTGCTTACGGTACGACGCCTGGAAAAAACACGAAAGAACAACAGATACGTGTACTGTGGGTCGATAACAATTACCAGCTTGGATATCGAATGAAATAGAGACGAATATTCCACCGGTGGATTATATTTCAGTGGCCATGTTGCAAACATTCGCCATACAACGTTTTGTCGTTTGGTTCGTGGCGGGAAGCAAAGTATCGTGAAACACGTTTAAAAAATTCTCTGGCCATGTTTTGACTATTAAAAACAATCTCTGTGGTACGGATACATCGTACATTCTGTATTTAAAGGGCTGAATAGATTGCAATGAAATTTCATTACAAAATTAAAAGTCGTGCTATGATTTGCACAGGACATATAAAAATTAAGTGGGTGTCAAGACTTCGCGAAGAGACGTTCATGGGATTTTAATCAGTGTCGTTTAAGAAGGCATTAACGTCGGAATGGGGTACAAGAGGAGTCATAGAAACGGCGCTAGGAACATCAATCTTTCTCTATTATCTAATAACCGCGAAGAAGGGTAATACCAAGGACGCATTAGACAGCGTATTGTCGCGGGGCAATTTATCATCGTCATCGATCCGCTTGTTTCGATCAAATATGTACTCCGAAAGACGCGAGCAATTCAATTTCCTTGGATACCGAGCATCCCCGATCGAAGAGAAAAAAAAAAAGGGGGAACGACTTCCTTCCTTCGTTCGTGGCACCGCAATATTTCATCCCCCGGGCGGTTATCGGCATTCGAGGCACGATCGTAAGTGGTTGTCATTAGAGTAGGTAAATGCCGATATAATAATTTGTTTCGAGCCACTCGACATTCCTCGAACACGTGCGCGTCCCTGGTGAAATCATCCCCCTCGCCGTGTCGAGCTTCCCCTAGCATTTCATCCCCGCGAGTCTTACAGGTAATTCGAGCAATTATCGTCCCAGACTTTTCACTCGATTTCGTGCCAGGATTCGTAAGCTTTTTCCTAGCGGCGATACGCGAGGAAGAAACATATCTTGAACGATCCTACGATCCCCCGCGAACGTCCGAAAACCCCAATGATTTATACTCTTGTTATTTTCCTACTGTTCTCGATTCGCTCGAGTCATTTATCGGAAAGTTTTGGACCGCTTCGAAGACAGATATTCCTTGAATGAGCTACGTTGAATTTGCTACGACGAACAGAGGGGTGGTCTGTTTGGACTTGGTCGAAGCGATTAATTTTTATTCTTTCGGTTCTCTTAACTTGTTGCAATATATTTAATTGTACACACAAGCTGACACCATCTCTAGGAAATTTACAAATTCCAACGAATCGCCGGATTGCCTCGGACACCGACGACAATTAATTTCCGTTTCTTGATTTCTGGATTAGTCGGTTTGTCCTCGGATTAGCCAGCGTTAATTAACACGCCTCGAACAGGGAAACAGGCTCTCGCCGCTTTGGGTATGTCAGACAGTTCGTTAACGCGTGGGATTCATTTGCTGGTTACGATAATTCGTTCCTGTTCACTGAAGATTACTAGTCGCGTCGCGTACAATATGAAACAAATTTCCGGGAAAACATCGACGCAATTGTGTGCTCCGAACACCGCATTTTAGTCGTTCGGATATAATTAATTTTGGTATATACCGAGCTGAAATTAATTGTATATTGTATACTACAATTTGTAGTGCATTTGCCACGCAAATATGAATACTTTAATCGAAACTAATAATAGCATAGATCATGAATTTTGGCCCTATTATTTAGCTTAACTAATATATAATTTCATGAAAATGTAATGTGCGTTTAGCAACTGCTTCTGCTCTGCAAGAGTTTGAAAATTGTAAAATAATTATATTAAGATTAAATTTACATATGCTTATCTTAAAGGCAAAATGTATAGTATAAATTGTAATCTCTGTGGTCGAACAGAAGAGAAAAGAATCGTGTGCTTGACGCGTTGGACAGAACGTATAACCTTTAACGTGGGTTTTCGTATTTAATTAAATTCCGTTTCCTTACAAATTCTTTTGCATATTTTCCCTTTGAATTTTGAATTTTGTTCCTTGAATAACAAGGTATCAAAAAGCGGACGCTAAAACTGATAGTAAGACGCATCGCGTGTCCGAGTCTGATAAATTTAAGACCGTGGTTGACATTCATGCTGAAATATTGCCAACAGTCCGACGTGGATTAAACGAATTTGTCTTGAAAGGACGACTAGCAAGAATTCATTCGCGAGTTCCACGGAAGAAGTCGTATTCGATAGCAAAACGAGAACAAAATCCAGACGTCTTATCGACGAAGAATATTGTCGAGGGTCCATTTAACCGACGATAAAAAGTGACTGTCGAATTCATTCTAATTCGTTCTAGTTTCTTCAAAATCGATCGACACATACTTTGTTTAAATTATCCTAGGAACGAACATCGATCTTATACTGTATAAAATGTCGATAAAATAGCAATGAACGGGGTAAAGAATTAAATTCATCGGCATTCGCCAGCGCAGTTGAGATTTAAGCGGAAAAATTAGATTGACTTAAGCTTCGAAGGGATCCGAGAAACACTGGTCCCCGCGGAGAATCCCGGGACAACGAAGTTTCTCGTGGAAACTTGAAAGGGAACGAACTCGAACCTCGGAAGACCCGCAAGTCGAGATGATACCTTGATTACTTAGGCGGTGGGAAGTATTGATTTCATCGGGCGACGCGATTCACGGGTTTCCGTCCCATTAAACGGCCGGTCTAACAATATCTAAGAAGATCCGCGAAGAAACCATTCTGTCTCTCCCGCGGCTATTATTGGAATCATCGAAGAAGACTTTGTAAATATCGTAGGATCCAAAAGTTGCCTCGGATCGTCGTGGATACTCGGAATTTCCAGAAATTCTCTACCATTGAATCAATCGAGAGAACTTGGTAACCAGGGGTTTGCAAAACATTTGACCGTTTAAACGAGCCTTTGCGTACTTGACTACGCGATCGTTAGATCCAAGAAACTTCATTAAAATTACATATTTACGAATTAGTACGAATTCTTTCCTCCTCGAGGTGCGTTTACGAGTAATCAGAGTTGGATTACAAAACACCTAGTCCAAATTCTGTTCTCGCGCGTTCCGACATTCTATTTTACTTAGAATTTACCAGCACGTAAACGTTCCGCGAAATACCTCGAGGATGTAGTTTTCGTTCGCCGAGTTGAATTCCACTGCTTATGAAAAACTTCCTCTCGTCTTTCCCAGCAGAGAGCCTGGAAGCACACTCCACGACTTTTGGCACTCGCGTGAATCGTGGCCTGCGGTTTACGAGTACCGGGAGTACTTTACCAGCTTCACGAGTGCTATCGCGGGCTCCTATAGTTAATTACTCTCGTACGCGTCGTTAAGTAATCGATGTTCGACTCGTAGAATCACAGGAAAAACGTATCTACTCGATCTTACGTTCGGTAAATATTATATCACGTTTATGGTATATTCATCGCCATAGATCAGAGCCTGACTCTGTTTGTGGCGAGCAGAGTCAAGAGGAAGACCGAGAACATTTCCCTGGTCCTGCAACCACGGGGTACCATAGTGTGCGTGACTTGTAAGGCGGGACTGATGATGTTCAAGGGCACTCGTGACCTGCGTTCGGGGTTATTTCACCCTAAATCGATCACCTTGTCTCCTCAGGGGTTTTCGATCAAACTGAAATATTGTTTAAGAAACACAGATTCTTGACCAATCTTGCAACACAAAAATATTTAAAACAATTTTATTTTGCAAATTTCACGCTTTCCTGAATCTTAGAAAAATTGTAGAAACATATTCCCAGGTTCTGTTTGCTCCACCAATGAAATTTAAAAATGAACGATGTACCGACTAAAACATTGACATTGACAATTCAAGGGCTTCAATTGCAAATAATATCTCGATTGTCAATCGGTGCGTTCTATGGCTAATTTGCTCCTAATTACTCGAGCACGCGTCGTTGGATAATCGTCGTTCGACGCGCAGAGATTGATCGGCGGTTAATTTTTCCGATCCGATAAGCCCGGAACCGTGTTTCGCGACGAATCGAAGTCGATGGTTTTCCGCGCTGTTTGCGACGATATAATTTCCAGCGGTCGAGGAAGATCCGTCGATCGCCTCGGCGTTCGATTTCCGGCGCCGAACGAGCATCGGCTCCCGTGGAAGTGGCGAACCGTCGATGCGTGAAAAAAGCGACCGATTGGACGGGCCTCGCGACGATACAACCCAATGACAGAACGCTTTCGAGATGATTGGTTCCGCTTTAATCGAAGCGACGGAACTTAATCGTGCCGTGACTCCCGTTTCAGGGCTGGTGAAGCTACGAGAGCTCGTCAGGTCGCCGAAGTCTCGGGAGATCGAGGTTAACCTCAGGCAGGCCGACCCGGATTCCTATCGGCTGGTTCTCTCCGAGATGAAAAGCAAGGAAATACGGAATCTCATCGTGGATACCAGGCCGGAGCACATGCATCATTTTCTGCGAATGGTAACTGCATATTCGTTTATCGATTTCCTGTTTGCGCCGCGGCCTCCGTGTAAATGCAATGTGTATCCTAACGCGCGAGACCCGCCACGACGGACGATCAGGCACGCGAAGCCCATGGAAAATATCCCCGTAGACGCGCGAATAGCCATTTTTGTTCCACCGTCGTCCTTAAGGAGCCATTCTACCTTGTAGGCACGAAAAATACATGTTTCTTTGTGATTTTTTTTTACGGGCTATTAAAGAGAGATTAATTCCGTGTTTTGTAGATACATTTATTATATATTTAGCTATATTTACGAATTTTTGCAACGCATACTATCTATTGATTACGCTGTTTTTGTTGATCAACAAACAACAGTTTTTACGAACGGCGCCCGACTGCGTATGTGGTATCTTGCGAACAAGTTATCCGAAATCCAAAAACCAACGATATTCTTAATATAGATGAGTATGGTTATAGCATGAACTAGGATCTTTTTAAAAAAATAAAAAATGGCAGCTATTTTACGAAAAAATACTGAATATTTTCAAATATTCGGTTGCTTTTTTGTTAATAAAAGAAAAAACATTGCATATATCGCAATTATCCTAGTTCATGTTATAGGGAGACCAGTTCTAAAGATACTGTATAAATTTCATGTTGATATCTTGAATTGTTTTTTCGTTATCACATACGCAGTGCCGAAAAATGTCCATTTGTTATACTTGCTCGTGGTACATTTCAACAGGCTATAACTTCGTTAGTTTTTCAAATTTCAATTTAATATTTGATTGATATACTTTCGAGACTACATACTAAAAGAAAACGCAAAAAAAAATTCGATTTTTTAAATCCCACAAGGTAGAAAGGCCCCCTAACGCGCGGATTCCAATTCGATTCTTCAATTTTTTCGTAGCGATGTTGGGAACAAATTATTTTGAACGTGAAATCAAAAAAGAAATAAAGAATATTTTCTTGTTTCCATAACCGAAAAACGTATTTTTCTCTGAATTTATTTTGATTAGAATAGAAAAGCTTGAAATGCATTTTTACCTATGTTATTTCCCACCTGTAATATTAGAAGTGAGGTCACGATAATGTCGGTCAGGTCAGGTCGAGAATTCTTCGCGGAACAAACATATCTTGTGACATTTGAATATCGAGATTCCTAAAATATCAGACACCTGGAACGCGGTTTGGGGCAAACTTTGTTTGACACGACCGAGATTATAATAGAAGCGTTTTAAATATTACGCTCTACTTGTCAGGTGCGCCTATTCTTACTCTGAAACGGTGATAAACTGACAACGGGTTAACCAGAATATTTGTGTGTCCATTACGGAGTGACATTGTTTGGATACTCGAGGTCGTAACGAAATAAAATGCAATTTAGCCGTGCAGTTTGTATATGTTTCAATATAACCGAAAATTCAAATATTTGAAATGGAGCTTACAGTAATCGTTACTATATATGCTGTGCGCAGTTACGAAATTTCGCTCCGAATTTTTCGCATTGTCGCAAATTGCACGGTCTTACGAGGCGGGTTAATTTCGCTGTGTATCCAAACGAGTACTGGGATTAAATTAAAACTAACTGCGGCTATACGGCGTAGAAGTGTAGAAGATAGCTGGTTTCGGGCACGCGGAGAAATGAAATAATTTTTTTTTAAATATTTTACGTACTTGCGATTTAATTAATTCTCAGACTTTCAACGACCAAGATCTCGATCTCGAAATCACATCGGGCGTTAAATGTTTCACACTCGCCAGGTAGCGAAACGGTATCGTTGACTTTTATTTCGAGGAATCGGGGCGAGAGACCGGGCGCAATAACAGAAATATTGAAAAAGTGATCCCGAACGGCGGAGATAAATCTTTGTACGTACTTACTTTCAGATCCTGCAGCTGCAAATGAACGACTACAAGTACCACTATCTCTTCACGACTTTCGTAAGTACTCTTCGGGTACGGTGAGACAGCCCGGGGCGCGACAGCCCGAAAACGCGAACCTTCTGTCCCTTTTCCAGGATATCGAGACCTTCGACCTCGAGGACTTCAAGTACAATTTCGTCAATATCACTGCCTTCCGTCTGGTCGACGCCGAGGACGTCGGCGTGCGGGGTATATTGAGGGACATGGAGCGGTACCAGCCATCCGGAAATAAGATCCTCAACAAATCGAGAGTCATACAGGTAAGATTTCCGTGTATTCGAACCTTCCGGCGATCAAATATCGATGCATTGAATGTTTGCGCGACTCGGTATTGCGTGGACCTTCGAAATTCGCTCGATAAAGCACGACGAGTTTATTTGTATTCAAGCGTTCGCTTATTCCGGTAACAGAAAATACAGTGACACGAATAAATACCTTGACACGGATAAAAAAAAAAAGAATAACCGATAAATGAATACGCTATTGCTGGTACGAATTTTACTCGTATCGACAACAGTCTGAATTTATTAACTGGAAACATTGCATGAAAATAGAATAACATATTGTGAAGAGACAACAACGATAAGGATATTTAATTCAAAAATACTGGTAATATGAATATTAACTTTACATTCAATATTTCAACGAAGCTTATCGAATAATTTTTCCACTGGCGGGCTCGTCAGCAAAGGGAATAGCAATTCCGTATTGCCGTGGATAGATTAAAAAACGAATGTTTATATTTTGTTGCGTTTGAATCCAAATTAAATGAAACATTCGTTTCAAACATTTTTTTTTCGCTCACGGAGTTAGAGGAGCGCGAAAAAAATATATCGACTCGTTGGCGAGCTTTAAATCAAATAGTGTAAAGTACGTACGACGTTTACAGTGGGTTCGGACACGACACGAAATTAATCTAAGCTTTGCATCGTACTTTTTTAATAATTTCGAGGATAAATCCATTTATCGATGCAACAATACATTTTCAATAGCACGAGGAAAATTAAATATTAAATAAAATAATTTCTTTTTAAATAAAAGCGACGAGAATATGCAGATTAAAATTAAATGAAGCTGACTGTGAATTAATAACTGACTCGTAATAGTAGTAAACGTAATATCCCGGGCACTCAACAATTTAAACAATTTCATTTGTCGAGGTATGAAAACAAACTTTTTGCAAAAAATTCATTTCCACGTTTATTTGAGTCGTTTGCAGCGAACCGATATAAATGCAGGTAACAGATTGTAGACCAAAGTTGGAAACTATGAAATAATAATGAACACGTGGCAAAGTTTAATTCTAAATTAAAACTTTTAAATTGTCACGGAAACTTACAGACCAAATATTAGTAATTTGTTGTATTTCATTATTTGGGCGTTAAATAATAGAACGCTCTTGGAAATTTTTAACTGATATGAACTTTCAACATGATTTTTCCAATTAGGATAACGTTCCCCTGTATCAAGATCGAAGCTTTATTTCGCGAAAAAATTCAGCGAACGTGATTGGAAAAACAATTTTCCAGGCCAGAAAAAGTTCGCGCGCGGTGACCGATCGCCGCGACTATTAAAAAATCAGATGCTATCTTTTAAACATCGAAACAGTTGGTTCGTTTCGCGACGCCATAGTTTATTGATCGTAAAGCTTGCTCTCGAAACGAGGCCGTCGTCCAAACTGCGAAACACGTGTCGAGTCTCGCAGCTTGCGGATGTAAAACAATGCGACGAGCAAAAAAGCTTTGTTCGGAAACGGCCCGTCGGTGTTCGCGTCGTCGATACTAAATAGACGTTTCCTAGTGCCATAAAGTAACTTGAAAGCTTTCCTCCGATACACACCTGGCAAAATACAAAATTTGGAGAAAGCACATATCCTCAACGTGTTGTTTCCAATCTAAATATACGAGAGCCTCGTGATTCTCCGTAAATAAAATTTTGTACAATTATTTTTATTACAACCAGCAATTCTTAAACGGTAAAGTTCGTTTTTTATCGAGTAAATACTAATTTTCGAGTTCGTTTAGCGACGCTTGGCAGGCGCTTAACGATGTTGTAAACGCGTTCGTTTCGCTGGCGAAGAGTTAAGGGAGTCTGGAACGATGATATTAGTCAAGTTTCGTCGGTAATATACTTTAATGAAACGGTGGAGTCGGCCGACAGACCGCGTAAAAGAGTATACTTCGCTGCGAGACGTGCTTACGACGCGTGAACTTTAACATTTTTCCTCGATTTACATGCAGATTAGAATGTACCCTGGTTCTCTCTGGCCCTCGAGCTGGCTGCCGGTCGAGGCTGCTCGAGTAATCAGTTTTGAAACGCGCGAGTGTGTCTGTCTCGTGCATACAACCACGAGGAAATCAAATTGAACGTCAGGGTCACGTCAATCCTCTGTCTGCGAATCCCCAGTTGTCGCTGTCTCTGGTATCGTCGCGTCCGACTCGAGTAAATCCACGAGCATTCCGTAAACGAGCTGTTCATTACGAGTACGGAGTACGTTCGTGTCCATGAATGTTATTTTGCTCCTAATCGCTGGCTAATTGAGAGGCGCGGTAGAAAAGAACGGGCAATGTTGAACTTTAATAGGCAAATCTGCATGCTTTCAAACATTAAAGCGCATTACTGCGTACGTACGTACTCGTAAAGGAAATTTATAATGGAGTAGTCTCGCTCGTTTCATTTTTACCACTGTAGTTACTCGGTTGTAAACTGGTGCAAATATTATTTTATGATACGAGACTGGTAACAAATTTTGCAATACACGTTAGAGTGCCTTTGTATCAAAGTTTGATACAACGCGTGAAGAAATATGGCCACATCGACGTATTAGAAACTCGTAGATCTTTCGTTCGTTGGACGACAGCTTTTAACCAATTAGGTCTCCGGACAGGTTTCTTTTACTTAACATTCCAACTGACTGCCGTCTAACTGTTAACACCTCATTTACCGCGTTTCAGTCGAATCAATTAGCGATCGACTCGCGAAGGTTATACAAGGAAAAATTCAGAATTAATAATCTGAGTCAAAATAATGTTTCCTTGTAAACAGTAGATGTCTTAATGTTAATTTTGGCGACGTAATTTTTGCCCCTTCTTGCAATTCTCCCGCGAGACGAGCGCGTCGTTTTACCGTGCAAAAAGCAAGCGAAGTTCAAACGGAAAAATGAGGGAACACTTTCAACCAAGTCGCGGGTATTAAAGAACTCGGGAAGATTTACAATTCGCGGAAACGTCGGGTCTAAGAAAGAGTTTCCTAATTACATCCGTTGAAACTTCCCGCGTTTAATGCTTTACAGGGCTATTCGGTAAAACAACATCCAAAAATTGCAATTTCAGAGTGCAGATTTCGTGAGCTCTTCCTTGAATAGATACACAATCGTTTCGTATATTTGCTCGAGTTTTTTTTTAATCAGAGAAGAAATATATAATTTTCCTATAATCCTAAAAGTTCCCGCGGTTCTTCGGTAACACCGATAATTACTCATCGCATATGGGATTACTCGCGACGCGTCGTTAAGGTTGATTGGTCGAATGTGTACAAAAAAAATTGAAACAGTGACGGGCACACGGACGGTGTAGAAAACGTACACGTGTTGGTCGACTGATAAAAATTCCGTGGCGTGTCAGAGATAGCCAGTATAAATATATCGGGAACGCTTTTTCCTGTTCGTTCGATCGGATATAGTGGACATATACGGGACCACTGTTTCGCGTTTCCCGGTGTAAATAAAAAAGGTTCCATTTTCCGTACATCGACGAACCGTTTGATCGAAACTCCGTCACATTGTTTGCATTGGAGGAAGTTGTTTGCTGCACACTTTAAGCCCAGGAATCGAAACTATGTCGAAGGAATGTTTCATTTTCTGTTCTCGCGCCACGAGACGGATTCTCTACCTCAAAAGTGACACGGTTGATTAACCCTTTACAGACTCGACACATTTTTAACGTTTCTCTATACACCATTAACGTCGACGTAACAATTTATCAAGCTTCAAATTCGTCGATTCGTTTATGTTAAGTGTTCCAGGTTCCTTAAAAGTTTCCACCCTCTTCCAAAACCGAGATCATTAGGATCCCCTGGATAAAGTTCGAGGCGATTCGAAGACGTTTAATCGCAATTTCGTCCCCGCGAGGAAGAAACGTTCCGCTCCGTCTCCAGAAAAATACCATTTTCCGATCGTGAACCATCACGTTATCGATCGTCCAGCAAACATCGGAGGCTCTCGAGGTCTAGCCTGAGTTTATCAAGACAATTCGTTCCAGCGTGCAACGGTTGTCGACCGCGTCTCTCCACCATCCCGGACATCCTGTTCACCTCGAACGCCTCTCCGCTTCCATAGAGACTTGTCACGGGGTGAAATTACCTGGCTTTTCTTTCGCAACTCCCAGGGGGTGGGAGTGCTCGCGACGCTACATCCCACGAAATCCACCAGGCGTCTTCTTCGCGCGTCTCGATTCCCTCCCCGACCTCTTTCCCGCTCCCCTCGCTCGCCCCCCAGTCGCCGACGACGATTCTTTTTATTCGCTGTTAAACGACCAGGTTAGCCGGAACAAAGTTTCGCAAAAAGCACGGTCACAATCAACCGTGGCGACGAAAGAGGAGGCTAGCTGAAATAAGGGTGGCACGTTCTGGGAAGGAAAGGGTAGATTCCACGTAGCCAGCGAGAATATAAGCCACCTTCTCGAATAAGCACGCGTTTGTTAGACCGATCCAGCGAGCGTCCTCTGGAAAATACAGAATATATACAGTGGCTCACGAAAGTGTTCGAACGCATGCAAGAAATAAATGAAACAAGAGAGATATTTATGTTAGAGTTCAATTTCGAAGATAACATCTTAATAGCTATTAGACACAAGTATCAGGATAATATGTGTGGGATCCACTTCGAATTTACCCTGTCTGATTTTTACAGAATTTGTGGTGTTTAATTTTCTTACCCTAGTAGTCGATAACATTGATTCTGGAATTTTATAATTTTGAGAAAATATTCATCGATAGGACCCCACCCTTCGTGACCTAGTCTTCACAAGGACATCAAAAGTAGAAGTTGAAAATAATATCTTGTGACTTGCGACAACGAACTGTGCTTGATGTTTCATAAAAATCGAGTGTATTGAATTGCCTCTCAACTGAAAGATTAAGTCCTAAACTGCCCGTACGTTTGTCCGTCGTGCAAAAAAATTGGTCCAGCTCGTAGCTGGAAGAACGTATCTGTGCGTTTGTCCCTTTTAAAATTCAATTCATTCGTTCCGATACTTCCAAT